AGTTAGAGTCTCGAGAAGGGGGATTTTTTTGTCCTGGCTCTCACACCAGGCCCTCATCAACCCACCCCTCCCCAGCTCTCCACCTCCAACCAGGAGGGATGGCTAATTCACATAATTTACTTATGATATTTAATTTTCACTCTGTCCTCCCATGTCAGGATGTAAGCTCTCATGAGTGCAGAGACTCCGGTCTATTGTACTGCCTGGTGTTTTCCAAATGCCCTGATCAGTGTCTGGCAATCAGTAAGCATTTGAGAATGAGTGACTTGTACTTGTGCTCCAAACAGCTGGTTGGGTATGAGAACTCAAGGCCTCACACAGGGATTGGGGACTTGTCTTCTCCCCTGCCCCCTTTGTCCAGCAAGCCAAGATCCTCTGGTCCAAAGATCTCGGGTAGGACTGAGGAAGAAGGAGAGCTGCCTAGAAGGCCCCACTGGGGCCTGAAGCCCGAACTTGAGCTGCCAGCCCTGGGGGAGGGAGCTGGGGATAGGGGTAGGAGAAGAGGGAGATGCTGACTTTTACCCGTGTCCCCTTTAGAGCCTTTTTTGACTTTGCTGTGTTCATGTACCGTGTTAACTTTTCCAAACTTATTATAGCTTTTAAAAACGCCTAACTATTGGGCACCTGGGTGGCTGAGTGGGTTAAGCCTCTGCCTTCGGCTCGGGTCATGATCTCAGGGTCCTGGGATCGAGCCCCGCATCGGGCTTTTTGCTCAGTGGGGAGCCTGCTTCCTCCTCTCTCTCCCTCTGTCTGCCTCTCTGCGTACTCGTGATCTCTCTCTCCGTGTCAAATAAATAAATAAAATCTTTAAAAAAAATGCTTAACTATTAAAAAATATTATTAAACAATAAAATAAATACTACTAAGCAAACTTTTACAAGTTATAAGATTCACCTTTGGCTGGGACTTAAAAACAAGGCACCCAGCCCCAAATCGGGGAGCTTGTGTTATACCCCACATCACTAGACCAAGACTTAACCAAACTCCAGGTTTGGCTCTCCCAGAAAGGGACACTCAAACCGGTCAGGGTCAGCACTAGCTAGGCAGTCCGCCTGACAGACCCCCTTCGTCTCCTAAAAGGAAAGTGACCTTGCAGTAACCAACCCGCTTTTTTGTCTCGGACAACTTCCTTCTTCCTGCTCCCTTCTGACTGTAACAGTCTTCCATTTTGTGCAGCTGCTCAGGGCTCCCATCTGCTGCTAGATTGGATGCTGTCTGATTCTAGTCGATTTTTGCTGAAAGTCTAAAAATGTTTAATATGCCTCTGTTTACTTTCAATAAGACTAAAGTAAACATTAGTTCTCAAAGTTTTTTCCTCCAGCTTTAAAAATAACTGAAAGCCATCTCATAGGGGTGCCTTTCTTCGACTTTGACTTCACCTGGTCACCATTAAGTCTCTCTCTAGTGCCAGCAGAGCATTGCCACAGAGTAAACCCTTAATAAATATTTGATGAATAAATTAATTGGTATCAAAAGAAAATTCAAGCTGCTTATGTTCCTCAATTCTGCGTTTTGCTAAGGAAAGGATATTTGCATCAAGTACGATACTGTGAGTGAATATATGTTTGGTTTTCTTCCAGGTCTGGCCCAGAGCTCCTTAAGCCCTTGGAATTCCCTAAGTGTTAAGAGCATTAATGAGGTGACTTTTGGATGCACCTAAGGATGGGAACTGGCTGCCTGAGAACCAGCCATGTGATTAGGGGGTTAGAACTGGAAGTCCCTCACCTACACTAGGGGGAAGGCCTGGACATTGGGTCAATCACCAGTGGCCAGTGGTTTAATCAATCAAGCCTATCCGGTGATGTCTCCATAAAAACCTAAAAGGACTGGTTGAGAGAGCTTGTGGGCTGGTGAACACGTGAAGATTTAGGGAGAGTGGCCGCCCTGGAGAGGGCATGGAAGCTCCACACCCTTTCTCCAAGCTTTGCCTTGCGTGTCTCTTGCACCTGACTGTTTCTGAGTCATATCCTCGTATAATGAACCAGAAATCCAGTAAGTAGCATGTTCCTCTTAAGTTCTATGAGCTGCTCTAACAAACTAATCAGGCCCAAGGAGGGGGTCATTGGAACCTTCAGTCTATAGCTGGTCAGTCAGAAGGCCTGGTGATAAACTGGACTTACGATTGGCTTCCGAGGCTGGGGGGTGGGGGGGAGACAGTCATATAAGACTGAGGCCTTCCCCAGTGGCATCTGATGCTCTCTCTGGGTAGATACTGTCACAACTGAGTCAATCTGTAGGACACCCAGCTGGTGTCCAGATACTTGTTGAACAGTGTGGGGAGTACTTGCCCTCAACACACACACACACACACACACACACAGGGAATTGGTACTAGATCATTTTACATAGAAAGTAGCTGAGTATAAAATATTTGTTGTTCATTAATTGAGATGATGGATGAGAACCTCAAATTTTAGGCTGGGCCAAGATGCCCAGACTCTTAAAACTAGAGAAACATGGAAGGTATCTAAGTAGTCATGGAATCCCAAGATGCTGGTTGATTCCCTTTAGAGCAGCTGGGCTGGCCCACGTGAAGGGAAGTCCTATCTCAATCATGTCACAGTCATAATGAAGGAGCTGACCATGAAATGATCATTGAGACAGATCAGTCTCTGCGTTCAATCCACAGACTGCCAGATTTGGAAGACTGTAGCAGACTCCCAAACAGATTTGGGAGTATCAGCTGAAGCCCCAAACCAAGAATAGCAGTGACATGTGACTTACTTTCTTTGGGGTTTTGTTTGTTTGTTTTTGTTTTTTAATGTTTTATTTATGTGTTTGAGAGAGAGAGAGTATAAGCAGGGGGAAGAGGGAGATGGAGAAGCAGACTCTTCCCGCTCAGCAGGAAGCCCAACACAGGGCTCCATCCCAGGACTCCGAGATCATGACTTGAGCCAAAGGCAGACTCAACTGACTGAACCACGCAGATGCCCCAAGACCCTAACATTCATTCTCCCCTCATAACTTGCTAAGAGGGGTGGCTGGGCCAGTTTTGACCTGCAGCTCTGCCCTTCTTTGAGCTTAATAGGAGAAAGGGAGGGATCTGTCAGCCTGATCAGAGTGAGGATGTTTTTGAAGAGCATGTTGGCTTGTGGGAGGGAAGTGTGATTTTCTACTCCTATCCCCCTCCCCAACCTCAAGGCAAATAATGCCTAGAGTGTGGTGGTTGCCCACCTGCAAAGGAGAAAGACCCAGTACCAGGCCAAGCTGGAGGAGGTTCAGAGTGGCTGGTGGGGATCAGGAGTTGCAGGGTATTGTGGGAAGGGGAGGGGTTGGAGGATGGAGGGGCATTTTGCTTTTTCATTTCACTTTCTGTTCCGCTTATATATATATATATTTTTTTTTTTAAGATTTTTTAAATTTGGGGCACCTGGGTGGCTCAGTCTGTTGTGTCTGCCTTCAGCTCAGATCATGATCTCAGGATGCTGGGATTGAGCCCCACATTGGGCTCCCTGCTCAGCAGAGAGTCTGCTTCTCCCTCTCCCTCTTCCGCTCTCCCTTGTTCGTGCTCTCTCTTAAATAAATAAAATCTTCAAAAAAAAAAAAAAAGGAAAAAATATACAGTGGAAAAAAGACAGTCTCTTCAATAAATGGTGCTGGGAAAACTGGACAGCTATATGTAGAAGAATGAAACTCGACCATTCTCTTACATCGTACACAAAGATAAACTCGAAATGGATAAAAGACCTCAACGTGAGACAGGAATCCATCAGAATCCTAGAGGAGAACATAGGCAGTTACCTCTTCGATATCAGCCACAGCAACTTCTTTCAAGATATGTCTCCAAAGGCAAAGGAAACAAAAGCGAAAATGAACTTTTGGGACTTCATCAAGATCAAAAGCTTCTGCACAGCAAAGGAAACAGTCAACAAAACAAAGAGGCAACCCACAGAATGGGAGAAGATACTTGCAAATGACAGTACAGACAAAAGGTTGATATCCAGGATCTATAAAGAACTCCTCAAACTCAACACACACAAAACAGATAATCATATCAAAAAATGGGCAGAAGATATGAACAGACACTTCTCCAATGAAGGCATACAAATGGCTATCAGACACATGAAAAAATGTTCATCATCACTAGCCATCAGGGAGATTCAAATTAAAACCACATTGAGATACCACCTTATACCAGTTAGAATGGCCAAAATTAGCAAGACAGGAAACAACATGTGTTGGAGGGGATGTGGAGAAAGGGGAACCCTCTTACACTGTTGGTGGGAATGCAAGTTGGTGCAGCAACTTTGGAGAACAGTGTGGAGATTCCTCAAGAAATTAAAGATAGAGCTTCCCTATGACCCTGCAATTGCACTACTGGGTATTTAACCCAAAGATACAGATGTAGTGAAAAGAAGGGCCATCTGTACCCCAATGTTTATAGCAGCAATGGTCACGGTCGACAAACTGTGGAAAGAACCAAGATGCCCTTCAACGGACGAATGGATAAGGAAGATGTGGTCCATATACACTATGGAGTATGATGCCTCCATCAGAAAGGATGAATACCCAACTTTTGTAGCAACATATACGGGACTGGAAGAGATTATGCTGAGTGAAATAACTCAAGCAAAGAGAGTCAGTTATCATATGGTTTCACTTATTTGTGGAGCATAACAAATAACATGGGGGACATGGGGAGATGGAGAGGAGAAGGGAGTTGAGGGAAATTGGAAGGGGAGGTGAACCATGAGAGACTATGGACTCTGAAAAACAACCTGAGGGTTTCGAAGGGGCAGGGTGGGGGGGATGGGAAGTCGGGGGAACCAGGTGGTGGATATTAGGGAGGGCACGGATTGCATGGAGCACTGGGTGTGGCGCAAAAACAATGAATACTGTTACGCTGAAATGAAATTTAAAAAAAAAAAAAAAGATTTTGTTAAGTGATCTCTACACCCACCATGGCACTCAAACTTACAACCCTAAGATCAACAGTCACATGCTCCAAGACTGAGCCAGGTAGGCAACCCCCACTTAATTTTTAATTGTTAAAAAGCTGGTTAAATTTATTGCTTGCTTTGGCAGCGCTAAAATTGGAACGATACAGAGAAGATTAGTATGACCCCTACACAAAGATGACATGCAAATTTGCAGTGTTCCATATTTTCATCATGATGAGCACTGAATAATTATAAAATTATTAAATCATATTGTACACCTGAAATTAATATAACACTGCATATTAACTTATACTTGAATAAAAAATAAAAAGACTGAATAAATGTAGAAACAGCCCATGTTCTTGGATAGGAAGAATAAATATTATAAAAATACCATTTCTCAAATTATTTTACATTTTTAATGTAGTTCTCATGAGAATTCCAGTGGTGTTTTGGTTTTGTGGTTGAGTGTTTTGTTTTGTTTTTGTGGAATGCTGACAAAGGATTTGAAAGCTTATTTGGAAGAATAAATTGGTGAGAATGACTTGGCAAATTAAAAAAAAAAGCTGGTTATATTTATATTTAATTTGTTTAAAAGCCACTTTGGCCCCTCTCTTAGGAGAGTGACACTTGGAGATGTTAAATCAATGCTTTCCCAGTCTTTTTTTTTTTTTTTTTTTGCTTTTCAAGTTTTCATTTAATTCCTGCTAGTTAAGGGGTTAGGTCATTAGGGAGACCGTATGACTCTTGATCCTGCGGTTGTGAGTTCAAGCCCCACATTGGGTGTAGAGCTTACTTTAAAAATACAATAATAAGGGGCGCCTGGGTGGCTCAGTGGGTTAAAGCCTCTGCCTTCGGCTCAGGTCATGATCCCAGGGTCCTGGGATTGAGCCCCACATCGGGCTCTCTGCTCAGCAGGAGCCTGCTTCCTCCTCTCTCTCTGTTTGCCTCTCTGCCTATCTGTGATCTTTGTCTGTCAGATAAGTAAATAAAATCTTTAAAAAAAATACAATAATAATAATTCCAGTTAGTTAAAATACAGTGTTACGTTAGTTTCAGGTATGCAATAAAACGAATGGTTCCCCAGCTCTCAGGTGCCTAAAACCACTTGGAGCTCCAGTAAATGCAGGCTCAGATTCAGCAAATCTGAGGTAGGACCTGAAGGTTTCCATCAAGCTCCCAGGTGACCCTCTACTGCTGGCAGGGGAACCACACCTTGAGTAGCAAGTGTTAAGCTCCTTGCCCAAGGCTACCCAACCAGCTCTGGAATTCTGACCTATTGTGTCCCAAATAAAGAAATAGATTGACATTTACTCTAGACAAATAAAATATATCTACCTGTTTACTTAAAAAAAAAGATGGGCTTACTCTCGCCTTTTCTTTTAGTTTATCTTGACAACCTATGGAAATCAGAACGCTGTAGATGGTCGCCAGCCACCTGCATTGCCTGTTATGCTGGCTGTTTCCATGTTAGTGTGGGGAAATGGTTTATTTTTAAACAATTACAAATGATTCTGTTAAATTACAGCTTCCCATAGAGTTAGATTTCCCCTTAAGCAGTTACGTACCGTAGCCAGTTACATAACCAGCAGCTTGAGATAGTGTCCTTTGTCCTTTGCTAGGAATTTGCTGGAAAAGAGCCCACCAGAGTGAAGCCGTTCCTTACTCCTTTCCTAACCCTGCCCTTGGGTCACCAAAGGGAACCCTGCTTATCCCACTGAGCAATCCTCCTGGGCCACGCCAGGGACCCTTGATGTATGGCTATGCCTCACACTGTGGGGTCCTGGGTGCCAAACCATTGCATCAAGCCCTCCTGGCCTCCCTCAGTGGCAGGGTTCATTATACCCCTTTTAGAGATGAGGAAACAGAGGCTCCATCTTATTAAATTTTTGGCCAGGGTCACACACCCAGGGGTCAAAGCTTTATCCCTTTGATGCCAGAGTCCCTGCTCTTGACCTCTTCACTCTGCTGAAAATCATATGGGTCCCCACTGGGGCAAGTCTTGGAGGAAGACCCTGGAGCCTTTTTGGTGGGTTTCAGTAGAGCAGGGCCCTGTTCTGTAACCTGCCTTCCCTCCTCATAGAGAGGACTGTAGCTTTCTTAATTTTCATATAAAGGAGATTAATTTCTGTTTCAAACACTCAGAAGTCCCATCTCAGCCAGTTCACTTCACCTTAGCTGCTTGCACGCTTTCTGGGACAAGTCAGGGCTACTTCATCAAGTCAAAGGTCGCTTCGCTTTTCTTTTCTCACAGAAGTTCTTAATTGCTGATTCATTCTTGTCTTTCAAGTCTCTATTTCAATGTCAACTTTTTAAAAATTTATTTTAGGTAATCTCTACACCCAGCGTGGGGCCTGACCTCACAACCCCCCGATCAAGAGTCACTGTGCTCTTCCAACTGAGCCAGGCAGGCGCCCCTCAATGTCACCTTCTTAAAGAGACCATTTGTGACTATGGGAAAACCACCCAAACAGTTTTAATCTCCCTGGAAACAATGACCACCTGTTGGTATTTTTCTAGTTGGTTTATTTTGTCATTTGTGTCTGCCCATCATCACTGCCACCAATGTTTGGCATTAATAGATGCTTGGTAAATATTTGTCAATAAATAAAGTATCCCTGGGAGGAAACTTCTGGTTCCTTTGCAGGAATTCAAGAAGAGGAAAGGAGCACAGAGAGAGCAAAATCACTCATGACAAGTCTTCTCATTATTTCAGTCTTGTGCCCAAAATAAGCACCCACCAAGGCTTTAGTAATCCAGGAGTTGGGTTTGGGTCTTTCCAAGCTTTTGTCTGTGTTATGAAGAAATAAAACAGTTGCCCATGGCTGTGGCTTCCTATCCACGGAAGGCTGGAAGAGAATGGAAATCCTGAAAACACCTGGGATGGGCTTGGGAAACCGGAAAGAAGGTCTTCTGCCGTCCTTCAGGACACACCAGTGCCCTTAGGGAAGGCTCTGAGGCGAAGTGAACCAGACTTTTCTCTGTACTCCAAGCTCCCTGCCTGCCCCTCCTTCTTCTCCACCCCTCTGTTGTAAGGCTTGGCCTCCTCTCTATCGAACTTTGTCCTATTCGGGGATAGACTATTTTTCCAAGAGTCAACAACATTCCCACGGCTAAGATTTAAAAAGCGAATAAAGAGGGTGAACTTACACCTTTTGCATAAACTGCAGGGAAATTTTCATTGTAACAGTACCTCACCGGGAAATGTAATTTGATAGAAGAATGAGGTTTGTTAATCTTTTGGATTCCTTTTTATTTTTTTTCCCTTTTTGCTGCCTAAACTGAAAATGTGTGCCACCTAGGGGTGCTGCAAGCACTGAATCAGAGAATGAGACTGAGACCAGCTGGGCCTGACCCCAGAGACAAGTGGGCTCAAGCTAGCACTTTGCTTCCACCCTTGACGAGCAGAGAAATGTGTGGGACTGTACATTTGCTTGTAGAGGGCCATCATTAAATTCACTTCTGGGCTCCCCTGTGCCACTCCTGCCTTCTGTTCTGCTCAGTTTCCATTCCTTGTCCCGGTGAGCAGGTAACCCCACTTGTCGGAATGGATTACAAAGAAAGGGCATTGCACAATAGAGATTGAACCATGCCCAAAGAGGGATCTGGTTTTTGCCCTCCAACCCCCAGGAGATGATCTCTAAACCCTGAGAATGTCCTGCCCAATAAGAGTGATTTTGTTTACTTGGGTGCATTGTGTCATGCCAGATAGTCCAACAAAGGGATTTGTGGCTAGGGCTTTGGTCATGCAGTATAAGGTTAGCCCTTGGATAGACTGGAGACTGAGGTCAGCCATGCGGGCTGCTGACCATGTCCTCAAGATCAAGCCCCAATAAAAACACTGCACACCATGGCTTGAGTAAACTTTCCTGGTTGGCAATACTCCATGCATATTGTCACGCATTGTCTCTAAGAGTTAACACTCTCCATGACTTCACTAGGAGAGGACAGCTGTGTGTGTATGGAACTCTCCTGGCTCCACCGTATGGGTCTCTTCCCTTGGCAGATTTTAATCCATATCCTTTCACTGTAATAAATCATAACAGTGACTACAATGGGTTCCAGCAAGTTCTGAGAGTCTTTCTTGTGAATTCTTGAACTTAGGGTGGTTGTGGGGATCCCTGGACTTGCCATGGGTGTCAGAAGTAAGGGTAGTCTTGGGACCTGTCCCGTAACTTCACAGGCACTTACTAGGAATCTGAACATGGGATCGCCTGTCCTGGATTCGCCACTTACTGGCTGGATAAGCCACTTCATCTCCTTGAACCTCCATTTCCTCACTCAGTGGGGAGGGTGTTGTCTGTGTGCCCTCTGGAGGCGACTGCTGTGCGGACTGAGATGGAAACAAAATGGCTGGGCATGTTGTCCAGGTCCATGCCAATGCACCACTGGCACACATGTATCAGATGCCCTCCCTCGTCAAGGCAAATTCAATAATGATGATGACCATGACGTTGAGGACCCCATTCCTACAATCTGACTGTGTCTGTCTAGACAGGGAGGAAAGAGTGGTTGGGATTGAAGAAGTACCTGGAGCCCGAGTGGAAGCCATTTCTCTGAAATAAGGTCTCAGGGGCACCTGGGTGGCTCAGTGGGTTAAAGCCTCTGCCTTCGGCTCAGGTCACGATCTCAGGGTCCTGGGATCGAGCCCTGTATCGGGCTCTCTGCTCAACAGGGAGCCTGCTTCCTTCTCTCTCTCTGCCTGCCTCTCTGCCTACTTGTGATCTCTGCCTGTCAAATAAATAAATAAAATCTTAAAAAATAAAAAATAAAAAAATAAGGTCTTAGGAGCCACTTAATCTAGTGGAAGAAGGCAAGCTCTGTGCGCTTCACAAGACACGAATTGAAGCCACAGTACACCTGTCATCAGGACAAAAACTCAAAATCTTGACAAACTACTCTGGCGAGGCTGTGAGGAAGTGGGCACTTGCACGTGTCTGGTGGAAATATAAAAGGGTACATCCCCTAATAAAGGGACTTGAGCAACATCTAACAAAAGTACACAGTATTTACCTTTGACCTAGAAATACCACTTACGGGTACTATCCTAGTCACCAACCCCCATATATATCTTCTTTATAGCTTTCATCTAGATTCACCAATTGTTAACATTTTCGTCACATTTGCTCATGAGCACTCTCTCCATATACGTACGTTTGTGTCTAGATATACGTGTATATGCGTATGTCTCTACCTGTGCGTTTATCTAATATAGAGACATTTTTGCT